TGCCCTTAAAAATAAGTATAATTCTGCCTCCGGGTCCTTCAAAAGAGTTATTGTCAAGGCAAAGTCAGAGTACATAGGCAGAATTGGTGAGAAACTAGTTCGTCTTCTTTCAGAAACCCGTGCATTCTGGTCTCTATCCAAGGCTGTCCAAGGGAACTTTTGTCAGCCATCTCTTCCATCTCTGCACAGTGAGGGCAGCTCACTGGTTCATGCTGCAAAGGAGAAAGCCGATCTGTTAGGCTCTTTCTTTGCGTCCAACTCGACTCTCGATAATGGGGGGAACACACTGCTGACCATCTCGCAGTGTGAGTTCTCCATGCCAGATGTGCGGTTCACACAGCGCTCAGTTTGCAAAACACTCCTCTCCCTGGACATCCACAAGTCGAGTAGGGCTGATGCAATCCCCACAATTTTGCTCAGAACGTGTGGTCCCGAGTTGACACTAGGTTCTAACGTGTCTTTTTCGGCACTCCTACTCACTAGGCGCAGCACCGAAATCATGGAAGACGGCTTTTGTTCACCCGATCCCTAAAATAGGTGACCGCTCAGATCTATATAACTACAGGCCTATCGCCATCGCCTCCTTATTCTCCAAATTATTGGAATCCATGAGAATCAGCAGCTGATTAGTAACCGCCAATATGGTTTTCGTCACGGTTGATCAGCTGGTGATCTTCAAAGTCTACCTGACTCTTAGTTGGGCGGAGGCATTGGAGTCCAAGGGAGAGACATTGGCCGTTAATTTGGACATTGCGAATGCCTTCAATCGGGCTTGGCACAAAGCGCTTCTTTCGAAACTCCCTTCCTATGGGCATCCCGAGAAATTGTGCGATTGGGTCACCAGCTTTCTCGCAGATTGGAGCATCAAGAATTGTAGAAGGTACATACTCCAATTACAGACCTCTTAACGCTGGTGCTCCCCAAGGCTGCGTGCTATCAACAACGCTGTTTCTTCTGCATATCAATGATATGTTGCGAACCGGTAACATTCATTGCTATACTCCGGCCGTGGCAATATTTCTCGAGGAGACGTCGCCGAGTATCGCAACAAACTTGTATCTAAATCGAGTCTTTGCTGAACAAAGTCTCGGATTGGGAGCAACTTTATCTAGTCCAGTTTAATCCTCAGAAAACATAAGTTTACGCGTTTACCGCTAAAAAGAACCCCTTTGTCGTATCTCCTCAGTTTCAAGGCACTCCCCTTGAAGCCTTAGCCAATATCGGAATACTCGTTATCGACATATCGAGTGACGTGCAGTTTCGTAATCACTTGGAACAGAAGGCCAAATTGACCTCTAAAAAGCTTGGCATGTTCAGCAGATCGGGACAGTATTTCATGCCGGCACACTGCCTACAAATTTACAAGGTGCAGGTTCGGCCTCACATGGAATACTGTTCCTGGCATGGGGCTTCCCAGTGCCAGCTCCTTCCATTTGACTGCATACAGCGCAGAGTGGCTCGAATCGTTGACCGAGATTAACTTCACACACAGCTGCTGCGAAGAGATGTTGCATCCCTTTGCATTTTCTTTCGTATTTAGCACGGGGAGTGCTCTGGGGAATTGTTTGATTAATCCCGGCCGCCACATTTCACGAACGCACACCGGCAAAACTCCCAATATCATCCACACCATATGAATGCTTGGCGGTCCACCACTGTACGTTTCACTAGCAGTTTTCTTCCGCGTACGATCTCTCTATACCTAGACGAATAGTTTACCACCGGCGATTTTACCGGACCGATACGATTTAAGAACCTTCAAGAAAAGAGCTTACTCCATTTTAAAAGGTTTGCAACTCACCTGCAATTCCCCTGATGTTGCATTTGTTTATGGGCGACGATAGTTACTTACCATCAGGGAAGCCGTATGCTCGTTTGCCTCTCTCCTATAAAACAAAGGTAAGTGTAGCGATTCGGAGACCCTTTTTACTGGAAACTACGCATTCCATCTTAGTCCGATAAATGTAAATGTCTATGGGTCACAGAATCCACTTAATAACAGGCGGATTTTGTGCTCTTTTATCACCTTTATTCTATGAAAAAAGTCACACCAGTGACCTGTTGCAGTCTGGTAAAAGAGAAGTTACTGGCACAGCTTTCATGATCTCAAGCTGGGCGCTATTTTCACTTTTCTACGATCATGTTACACCGAATCGAAGGTTACTGTTACGCACATAATCATATTGGGTAATGACACATATCTTAGAGAGTGAGGAGTTGTTAAAAAGAGGATAGAGAACTAATTACATTAATTACATTCAGTACAGTGCAGTAATTACATTTGATATTTGATCTAAATCCTAAACAATTTAAGGTTCAATGTGTATCCTACTATTTGACGATCATTACGAGTACAATTTTAAACATCGCAATCAAAAAGATAACATTGAACAGTTACTGTTGTCGCTTGGTCGTTCTTAATGAAGTCAATCTCATTGTTTGCCAAGGCCAGACTTGTGTAACGTGCATCAAATATTTATGTATCCTAACGTATCCGCTTTGTTTCGTAATGTCTAAAGTTCAATTTTTTTAGAAGTTCTTAGATTGATGAATTATCTTGATGTTAGTGTGTTTGTGCCCAATTATTATTTACCTCAGGTACCAAATGTTACGTACGTTAGGTACGTTCAGACCAACAAATAAAGAAAGATGGAGCACTGCGTTACATTTCAAGTGATGTAATTACCAAGTCAAAACCGTGCTCAAATTGGACGTATTTATGCAAAAAGGATCCAACCCGCGATAAGTTTTTTTTATAGGATAGGGGTGACAAACGAGCACACAGTCCACCTGATGGTAAGTGATTGCTGCGGCCCATAGACATCTACATCTATCCTCTATTACAAATTAAAATGTAGATGCGTTGTCACCCGTGAGGATTAAGATGGAATGCCTCATTTCCAGTAAAAAGGGCCTCCGGCCACCTGCACTCACCAAGCGAAACGCAGAGGTAAACCTCTACTTCACGCTGGTTTTCTGTGAGGTCGTGGTACCACCCCGGTTTGAGTCGGCCCATCCATGCGACAGCAAAAGCTGCCGCGTTGCTTTACCACTGTTTAAATATCCATACTTCAAATATCATAAACTCAAATTATCGGTATGGTTTCTGTCTGTTTGTAATTTTTCTTCTTATTTGTGTTACGTTTGCTAAAATTGTTACATCACATAATAATATAGACCACAAACATTATTTTTCAAGTCAACATTTTTGACACAAACTTGGGTTGGATCCTTTTTGCATAACCACGTCCAATTATTGTTAGAAAACGCACTCACGTACACATATGCATCTAAAATTTGCAGCTAAAAACATGGTTTTAAATACATATGTTTACGTCCAGCAGTGAACTTTTACCGGATAAAGAGAGAAATATGTGTGCGTGTCAAGAAATTGAGCACGGTTTTTGTGCCTGTTTATTTCTCGTTTTCGGTCTGAACTTGATTGCCACTGCGTACGATGTGCTTTGTCTAAACAAAAGGAAAAGTTGAAAGGATAACAATTCAAAAAATCACTGATTTTGTTTCAGTATCCGTAACATGCCGTGTGATGACGGTGTAAGAGAATCCATCACCTATTTTGTCCCGTGGGTCACAAGAAGCGACTTCGGAAATTGCTTGAAAAGTTATGGCTATAGATAGATAAAAGTATATCTCGTTTAGGCTGCAGGCAAAATACCTAGACTGGATAGCGGATTGCAACGGATAGCAGCGTCAAAGTTGCAAGACATCTGCTATTATGATCCTCAGTCCGCCTGACAACAATGATAATTAAGGCAAATCCTCTATCCAATAATAATATAAACCTCATGAATTTGTTTTTGAGAATGCGAGTTTTCATCAGATCTCCACAGTGCATGCGTGCGTGCGTTAATAATTTAATTAGTATTTTCTTATCTTATTTTGTCGTACGATATCTTTTGAACGAATAAACCGATCGAGATAGGCGATATGGTGTGTTCATTGAGATTTGAGCTGATTAGATTTTCAAGTGAATCGGTCGAGCCGTTTCAAATCTTTTCAACTAAAATTAAATAGATCTTCGAGTGTTGCGCTCGAAACTAAGCAGGATGTTCCAGGGATGGCCTGCAGGGTCACCCATTTTTTTCCCTCAAAATATTGTAACTCCAGATTGCAAGAATCATTAAAAACATTAGTACTCTAAATTCTAGAACCCAGATAAGTAATGATATTGCTTATTGATTGATAAATAAAATTAAAATAAAAGAAATGAATAAAACTATTTTTACATATATAGGGCAAACAAAACGATCTATAAAAACCCGCGTAAAAGAACACATAGCTGACGTGAAGCACCAACCTTCCGGGAAGTCTGCAGTTTGTGATCATATCCTAGACGGCCCCCGCCATTACATTAGATTTGATAAACCACAAATTCTCGCGAAAGAACATCGATTCCTGCCAAGGATGATACGTGAGGCTATTGAAATTAAAAAACATCCTAATTTCAATAGAGAGGGAGGCTGGGTACTATCACCTCCTTGGGATCCTGTAATTCATAAAATTAAAACTAAACACAAGCATACCACTGCAAGATTTCAAGACACACTTAGTTCATTCTGCGTAGATCGGACCAAAATTATTAATTAAAAAAAAAGCTGAAGGTACTCCGGTTTAACATTGACATCGGGACGTCAATCACCTCAGTCCCCCGTGACCACGGTTGCTGGAAAGCAACCGAAACTTCGGGAATATAAAATAAGTTAATTAAACGCGATAAAATCCGTAAAAATAGTTTTATTCAATGTGTAGTGTTCGCGTAAATATAAGAAATCATTATAAATGAAATGAAATAAATTTTAGTAGCGATCACCATTTAATAATACATAAACCTTTACTCTAAGTATATACATGTAGGTATTAAAAATTATAAGTAAATCGCAGCGAGTGTTTAATTTTTAGCAAGTTATAATAATTACATCTGAAATTCTGCTACGCAACGTAAATAAATTTAGAGCTCGAACAAATGTCATGTTGTTCGTTTAGAACACATATTCTTCGTATTTACTTAATAAATTTTCCCAGAACTCAACTTCTTCTTTATTTGGTGAGGAGCCTGCAACTAGTTTCTCGCCAATATCTAAATATTGTTGTTCTTCTAAAGTGTAAGGATTCCATTTTTCTTCTAAACTAGAATCTGGCGTGGGATTTCTGTAAAATTAAACAATTTTTATTATCTCACTAGCTGTCCTTCGCGAATTCGCCCACGTGGAATTTACTACGATTTCATGGGTTTAATTTTTTTGCGCAGAACCTTAATTATTTTTCAAAAATAAAAGTATCCTAAGTTACTCCTTATAATATTAGCTATCTGCCGGGTACAGTCCCGTCAAAATCGGTCCAGCCGTTTCGGAGATTAAGACAGACAAACATTTTAAAAATTGTTTTCTTGTTATTAGTGCCGTATATACTTTCATTTGCGTTTAGTAAAACCTCCTATTTTGACATTATAAACAGGCACTTTAATTTTATTTTGTTGTATACATTTTTTACTTAAATTTCATTTTTATTCGAGGTCAGATGTGGGCATCTATTGGCCACAGCATTCACTTATCAACTTATCAACAGGCGAGCTATGTATTCGCATGGATACCCTTAAATCTATAAAAAATATGTAAATTTTTATACAAATGATTACACATCCGCATTTAGTAGCGTGAGATAATCCAATGCCCTATATCGTTCCGTGAGTATCGTAAGAGGCGACAGAAGGGAATGAATGAAGGCATTGGCAGCAGCATCTTTCTGATTGGATCTCAAAATCATAAAAACCTGTGGTTGATAACGCTCGCGTCAAAGATGGTATCTATGGAAATCATCGCCCAATGAGACAATATATGGGGAAAGTCTATGTTCACTGGTGAACTATTGATATACGGTAAAAATAAAAAAAAGAACATACCCATATTTAGCGAAATTCGTCCACAACTTTGTCACATTATTAATCATCTTGTAACTTTTAGAATTTTTATCTACAGTTAAATTGTATACTTTCAATGGAAATAGGTAAGCCAAGTCATCAGCGTGACATACTGCTTCTGTGACATCGACTACACGATTTGCCTCAAATACATTAGACATGACGTTTCTCTCCGAAGTACATGAGAATGTATATAAATATATTTTATTATTTTTGTTGGCAGCAACTGTTTTTATCCATTTCATCATACCCTGTATGAATATATCCATTGACAAATATTTTATCAACCGATCCAATTTATCTTTTTCTATAGATTTTTCGTTGAAATAATATTTTCGAATCTTTCGTGCAACCTCTAATTTGTCTATCAAAGGACATTTTAAAGTCATGGCTCTAGGGACAAAATATTCAGCAATGAAATTAGCTTGAAATAATATTTTATCAAAGTCACTTTTCCAACATAACCACAATAAACCTTCATCTTTAGTGTACCCAGTCATAATTTCAACCCCTTCGTGTATACCATTGCGCGAAAGATCAGCAAGGTCGCTGTAAAAAAATCTTTCATTATCACCGAATTTCTTCTCATTTACTACAGTGAAATGAAATTTTGGTTCTTTTTTGTATTCATCTTCCCACGTTAAATTCCCATTCTTTAAAATTAACTTGTCAATAGGTTGTGATTTATAAAAGTTGAACAATTCTTTGTCATCATCCGAATCTAAACCCATTTTTCGCGCAAGAAGTCGCGCTCTCTCTCGTGGGTTACTTGTTAGTGCCCACCAACACTTGGAAGAGCCACTTTGAACTATTGCTCTTTGAAATAGACCTTTGCTCATGGGTGATATTAAATGTAAAGATACACAGCCTGCACCAGCACTTTCGCCAAAAATTGTAACGTTATTTGGATCGCCTCCAAAACTGATTATATTTTTCTTGACCCATCGTAAAGCAGCCACTTGATCTTTCACACCGGCATTACCTGGAACATCCTCTGTGTCTAAGCAGAGAAAACCTACGATTCCAAGTCTATAGTTAATGGTGACGAGAATGATACCATGCCTGACAAGGAATTCAGGGCCATATAAATCGTCATTACCACTGCCACTTATGTATCCACCTCCGTGAATCCAGAACATTACGGGCAGTGGCTTCCTTGGAGTGATATCAGGACTATAAACATTAAGATAAAGACAGTCCTCGCTTCCGTCTATAATCTTATCAGTAAACAAGTCATATTGCGTACAAGAAGATCCAAATTCTTTTGCGCTTCGTACACCCTTCCATGATTTCGCAGACTGTGGGGCCTGTGAAGAGAGAAATATTTTTAATTATAACTTGAATATTTTAACTCGATTGGTATCTAAATATAACAAAACGGTTACGACGAGTATAGACCGTTCACCATTAGATGAAGTGATTACTTGGCAGGACGTGCAGGAAGTCAATAAGGCTTAAGACCATGTTATATGACAAACAGAATGGAATAGAACAGAATAGAATAATTTTTATTCAATATAGGTTACATGTCTACTTATTGAAAGTAATTTTTTACTTTTACCAGGTACCGAACACATTAGGACAATGTTCAGCACTGGACTTGTGACTGTCTGTATTAATGTTTATCTCGTATATTGGCTTCATTTTGATGTTTGACGTTTGCATTCATCGTATTGTATGTATCACTATAATAGGCAGACGTGTTAAGTTAAAAATTTAATAGGTGTACTGGGTGACATCTTATGAGATCGCGTTACCAACATGCTGTAATAGCAGTATATGTGCATAAGTAGGACGTCTTGAGGTTGTGAGCCAAGTGATTGATAAGGGATTATTCATAATGTCCAAACAATTTGAAAAATGTCCAATATGGGAGTAGGCAATATGATAATAATTATTGAAATAATTAAATTTGAACGGGCTTTATGTATAAAGTCTGTTACATATTGGGCAGAGTAATAAAAATATAGGTTAGGTTAAATTAGTTTTCTTTTGATGTCACATATTTAACAATTAAACCCAATGGGAATGGGAATTATCAAAGCCCCCCCCATTGCTGGTAATTTGACACTGCAAAGTGCTTTTCCCTTCCTTCACATTTCTACACTTTTTAATTTCAGATTTGATACATTATTAGCTTATTGTCTTAAAAGTGATAAACATGGTAATGGTTAGGTTAGGTTATGTCAAATGTAAAAAAAAAGGTTAAATCGAATTGCGCAGCAGTTGCGTAGCAATATTTATAATGACCAGACAATGTGATAAATAATGAAGTTTATATCTGTATCAATTACGTAGTTAGATAAGGGGAGATTTAAAATAAAAAGATAATCAAAAGGCATTTTGTCTCGATCTTTACGAATATTAACTCTGGTAACTCTTGCACAAAAATCTGAAATTAACAAGTTTAGTGTAAAAATGTGAAAAAGGGGAAACTACTTTGCTGTATCAAATAGCAGCAATGGGGTATTATAAATGGTGATATGATTAATCACTTGGTTCATAACATTGATATTAATTATTATATAAGTACAAATTAATTAAGTTGTATTTACAACTTTATTTTTCCCAGGTTGTGCTTGCGAAGCCCATCGTATGTTTTGATAATTAAAAGATCTATCTAAAAATGTATATAATTGTCGCTCGGAACGCCGATAGATGTGAAAACCAGACAAATGTTAATGATACAAATTATGTAATTTTGAAGTTTAGATACTAAAATTAATTTGAAAATCCAAAAAAGCCACTTTAATTTCAGGCCCTATTTATTTTTTATTTATTTATTTCCTATCTTCTACGTTATCATGACTCTTTAATAAATTTCAACAGGATATTAGTAATGTTATAGCTGAATTTTAAATGTGGTAATTTGTGACTATTAATAAGTTATAGAATCTAACATTAATCTGATTTCACCTTAAATCTGAGATCACCGACTGGAGGTTCTGCATACGGGATCCCCTTGAAGCTGTAGTACTTGCCTCCAATATCATTTTCTACAAATTCCCCTTCCAACACACCCTCGCTCACTCGTACTTGCACCATCTTCTAAAAGTTTTAATAATAATATTTTCAAATTGAATTTGTCCTAAATATTCTGTCAGAGGCACAAATATGGATATTATATATCACCAGTTTATCGTAACTTATAAACTTTTCTCTTTTTACTTTTCTTAGCTTGCGCTTGACTGCTATCCCACCTGATGGTAAGTGGTGATACAGCCAAAGATGTTGAAGCGCACTGACTTAAGGCGACACCGCGAAAAAATGCAACTCCTTTCATCGAATAGTATAGGAGTATGACACGACTAACGAAACTGGAGTTTTGATATAGGTAAATTCATGTCTTTATCTTGAATTTGCTTGTTCAAAAACACGATTGTATAATTTTGACTCGATCATAATTATTTGCGAAAACACCTCTAAAAAATCACTATAGTTGAAATTACAACGACATTACTTAATCTATATGCTTGGGAACCACTCAAGTACATTCATAACATTAATATTCGTAATTTACTTGCTCATTATTTTTATTACTAAAATCAATAATTTTTTAAAAATATTTTAAGATTCTAAGCGATTTCTTAGCGGTCTGAATCGTTGCGGGCGCTACGCAATTTTAGACCTTATTACGGCGTTTTTAAAGTTTTTATATAAATTATGTTTCATTCTGGTCAGTCCGGCGATAGCCCGCTTCATCGGTTTTCAATGTGTCGCCTTAACAAAAGCCTATTATATTTTAGTTGTCAGCAGGACTTTTTGCTATGTATGGATATAGTTGGTGTACGCAACTAACTTCCGTCAAAATGTTCCAAAAAATGCTTTAAATCAATTCTTATTCCAAAATTTTCGGACTAAATGAATAAAAATAAATAAATAAACAGTACTCGTATTAAAATATAATTTTTTTATTTTTTATTTTTTATTTTAAAAAAACGTTACCCCCACACTAGGATTTTCTCCTATATCGTGGAGGCAGTTTACAAACATAAATTGCACAAGGGCAAACATCCAGACCGGGAACAATTATTTGTAGGTCATACAAATACTTGTTCCGTGCGGGATTCGAACCCGCAGCCCCAAGCGCTGCAACTCATTGCTAAGTCATTGCGCCACGGAGCCGTTGACTAAATCAAAACTTCCTTAAGATTAAGATGAACAAGAAAATTAGAGTATAAATAAATAAATAAAAGTGTAAATAAATAAATATGTGAAATATAAATAAATGAAGTCTTGATCTAGCAGGAACCTACAAATTTCAGGTTAACAAGCATCTACAGCTGCTTGATGTTCAGTCAATCACTTATTAAAATATTTTTCTTGAAATAAATAAAATCGAATTAATGTTATTAGACGTATGATTTTATTAGAAATAACGTCATACTACATACTTAAATTGCCTAATTTTTAGATGCTAGACATTTATCTGCACAAATACATAAAAACTTGCTATCCGATTAAAGTAATTAAATAGGGTAAAAGACGGATAGTTGACTTAGACGGATACATGCCCCGGTTTTGAAAACACTATGTCAGGAATATAATTTGTGTTAGCGCTTGTCTACAATGAGAAGTGACGCCCCGCAGGCCTTTGTGCCGTGTAAGCCATCGGAGTAGGCGCATGTGTTTTGTCCTTGTGAGCGAAAATTTTCCGAGGCGAAACTATGACAGGCGTTGAAATTATTTTGATAGTTATTTTTATTAATGATCGTGTTTTCAGTCAACTTTTTGTTTCTTTGGATGCATTAGATTTTAAATTACATCGTTTAATCTGTTTTATTGCTGAATAGTTTTTATTTATATTGTGAATAAAAAGGGCAAGTATCCATATCAAAAAGGATAGTCGCCCTACTTACTTTCGCGGATAGTTGCCCCTAGTGTCTATGAATTCTTTAACGTGCAAAGGCAGATTTTTTCTTTTCTTGTTTTTTCCAATTTACTATGACTTTAACTTGGTTTAAACAAAATAAATTGTTAACTGTTTCGTATATTTATTCTAGGTGAGCAAAATGCCTCGCAAGTATAAGCGAATACCAGGCGTGGTGCCACGCCACATCAACTCTACAGAAGAGAACTTAGCACTGTAAGATAAATGCTAATATTTTACTAATGACTTACATAACCTTAAGATTGAATCATATTTTTATATTTTAAAACATTAAAACTGAAAAATATTTAATAATTTTAATTAATATTTTAAGTTGTACTTAATACAAGATCTCAGTAAATTATAAAGACTGATAAATAAACAATAAAGATTACTAAAATTAATATAAATTTGTTTCTATCCATAAAATATATATTATATCGAGGTGACTATCCCCGCACGAGGCAAGTATCCCCCGAAACATTTTCTACGCTAGGTAGGTAACAATCCATTTTTAAGAGGTCAAATAAAACAGGATTTATTTCAAACGATATTATATAAGATAAAACACCTATTTTTTGAGATATTAATTGCATAATTTTCAGCAAGTAAATATTTTATTTAACCTACCTATAATTTTTTAAAGTTCATTTGTATTGAATTACTAGCACAAAAATTTTCTTTTTTTACTTGATTTATATGAATACACAATTTAGAGTTAGTAGAACTTACTATTTGTCAGTACACGTCTATCCGAAACTATTTGAATTTAAAAACTAAGTAAACCACATCCGTATGCAATTTTATATACATAATTTAACTTATGTGAGATAATATAGCTTCATAGCACTCGTAATTAGGGCTGCCACCCGTACTATAATATATAGTATCGTACTATATTTCATTCAATTGTACTATATATTATACAAAAATATTATAGTACGAAAAATACTAATTCAAATGTCGCGATTTTTTATATTAACTTTGACTGGAAGCCTGGAACAAGTAGGTTTTACGGAAAGAATTTTTCCGTCATGAATATTAAATGGAAAGAAAAATAGAATAGATAATAAATTTAATTAAAAATGAATTGTTAATTTAATTTTAATATGAATCTAAATTGCTCAAATTCTTATAATTATTTTAAAGGTTGATGGCCATAACAAAGAGCAATAACAAATTTATATGGAAAAATGCATTAAGATTTAAAAAAATGGGTCTTTTTTCCTGTATTTTCCCCAAAACAACTATATTTTTGCGTCTTTTTTGACAAAAATACTATATTTAGTCAAAAAAAGGTGGCAACCCTACTCGTAATACTTGTCAATGTATATAATAATAATCGTAATGTATTTATTTATTATTTATTTATTTATGCTTTATTTGCACACCAAGTACAAAAAGACGGACTTAATGCAACAGGGCATTCTCTACCAGTCTACCTCCAGGCTAAGCAGAGAAAATATTGTGGGTGCAAAGTGCAAACAGCTAAGTAAATAACATATATGTCTACATAATACATACAGTATATATATATATATATATATATATATAGTATATATATATATATATATATATATATATATATATATATATATATATATATATATATATATATATATATATATACATAAATATATATAAATACATACATACAAATATTTACTTACTACTACTTATTATACACATACTACTTATTATACATATATATACATAATTAAATAAGGCAGTTTCTGATTCAAACTCCAATAACAAATGTAAAAATGAAATGGAAAACCACAAACTACTCCTGCAACGTTAGATAGTAATTCCAGAGCAAGCGTTTGAACGATGCCTTGCTCGTGGCTGCGCGTACACTGCCCGGTAACTCGTTCCATAATCTTACCGCATGAGAAGTAAAAGATTTGTGTAAAAAGCTAGTGTGACAGAGGGGAACATGGAGGTTAGATTTTTCCGTAGAACGGAGACAACGATTATGGGTAGGGGAGACCGGGTACAAAAGTAACATTTTGTACTTTTACCTTGGTTTCTGGTTAGGTGTAATTATTTTAATGAAATTAACATAGCCATATATACATTCTGTTTATGTTCTTTACATTAATATCCTGATTTACCTTATTATTGTGTATTTTTTCATTGATCTCCTTTCACCTGTAATCACTTCCATCCTGAATAATTCACTGAATTCTTCTATTTTCCCTTCAGCTTGGAAAGATGCATTTGTAGTTCCTCTTCCGAAAAAGTCGAATCCGTCTAGTTTTTCTGATTATAGACCTATCTCTATCTTGCCTTTCCTTTCCAAAGTTCTTGAACGTCTTGTGCACAATCAACTAAGCATCTACCTTTTAAAACATAATCTTTTAAATCCTTTGCAATCCGGTTTCCGTCCTGGCCATAGTACGACTACTGCACTTTTACAAATCACTGATGATATTCGGTATGGTATGGAGAAACAAAAGCTTACCATTCTTACGTTACTTGATTTTAGTAATGCATTTAATACAGTAGATTTTGATATCTTGTTGGGCATCCTGCGCTTTCTCAACATATCTCCAACTGTAGTTGACTGGTTTCGAAGTTACTTGTTTGGTCGCCGACAGCGCATTCAGGTGCAAGATGTTTTTTCCACCTGGACTACTACAGCGGCTGGCGTACCACAAGGTGGCGTGTTGTCTCCTCTCCTGTTTGCAATTTTCATTAACTCTATAAGTCATAATCTGTCCTCTTCCTACCACTTGTATGCTGATGATCTCCAAATCTATACTCAATCTTCTCTTGAAGATTTGTCTAAATCAGTTGACACTATTAACGCTGATCTGACTTGTATTTCGAATTGGAGTAAACGTTATGGTTTAACGATCAATCCCAAGAAAACTCAGGCAATTATCATCGGTAGTTCTAGATTAATTGGAAAAATTGACTGGTCTTCCCTACCTCCTATTTTACTAGACTGCACTCAAATCCCTTACAGTAACAAGGTTAAAAACCTGGGGTTGTATCTCGACTCTTGTATGTCTTGGACCTCACAGATTAATGAGGTTAGTAGAAAAATGTTTGCTGCTTTAAGCTCTTTACGTAGATTACGTAATTTTCTTCCCACAGTAACTAAAGTTACGCTCGCCCAGTCTCTACTTCTACCTATCCTTGACTATGCTGACATATGCTATCTTGACAT